GCGGATCTGTGATAATTAACTTCATTTTTAATTCTTCGTATATGCCCTTGGGCATACAGTTTAAGTGCTTTCACAATGAAATAAGAAAAGTTACTGAATGAACACTCGCTTAGACATTATTTGATAATATGCAAATTTCGGATTTTCAACACAAATTTTAAGTCAGTCAGTCAGTCACTACTTCTATATGGGTCACGAAGTCGCCCAGAACGTCACAAAAAACATTTTCAACAGACTATTCTGCGGACACCTATCAACAGCTGCCTTCGCTGACTCCATGTTGAATTGAATGTTAAATGGCCAGAAAGAATCAGCAACAAGAAACGAACAAGCGAGGACCTATTGCTGAACAAATATGCGAACGAAAATGGAGATGGGTTGGACACACATTGAGTAAGCAGTCGAGTGATATCGCGCGCCAGGCCATCGCTTGAGTGGGAAACGACAAGTTGGGCGTTTCTCTGAGGATGATATGGAGGCGACCGTGTGAGTGAGAGAAAGGAGACTACGGGGAATCGTGTATCTAGCTAAAGATGACAGCAGAAAATAGAGCAAAGTGGAGACGTGCTATTGAAGCCCTATGTTCCACTCGAAGCCCAAGGGAACAACAATAATAATATAATTATTATAGTAACACATGTACTTGGAACTTATCAGCATAGCCTATCCACTTAAACGAATACCGAAATTATTTTTTTAAACGTTCACTATGACAATGATTTCTATCAAATGAACTTAAGTTTCTTGAAAAAGTTTATTGTTATATGCTTTAATAAAACAAGGGATTGAACGTAGCTGAAGAGAAGTGTCTATTCGTGTTATTTATTAATGAATGGTTTAAGATAGCAGGCGACCATTGATTAGGGTTTCGTACTTATTGACACGTCAGTATTGCATATATGTACAGTCTTGAACAAACTGATGTTCCCACTAAGATTCAAGCCCGTTCTACACAATTCTGCACTTAGAGACTTTACTAGTTAGCTGTTCGAGCCCAAGACTGCTGACTTCATGTAGAAGTCTGATGGTTGTATTGCTGACAGAATTCAGTTGGCACCGTTCAAGATAACTCACATAACACTAGTTACTCCCTAGTGACGAGTCATTATGCCGACTGTTGTTTGTGATAATCAGCAATGAAAGTGTGTATACTTCCTTGATCTTGATCTGGCGAAGTGGCTTTTCCTTGGAATTTCTAAGTGAATATGGCGGATGGTTGGATGTACCTCGTTCGGACACCATGTATGCATCATCCATATATCTGTAGTAAAATAAGGACTGTTTTCGAGTTTATTTAAGAGAAAATTGGTTAACATAGGACCAGATGAGGACCCCATTGCCATCCCACTCATCTGTCTGTAGACTTCACCATCAAATTTAAGGTTCACATCCATGGTAGACTTCAGCAGGAACTCTTTAACGACTTTTGTCGGAATCCCAATATTTACTGATTTGTCATTAATTTCTTCACATTTATAGGCAACCACTTCAACCAGCAGTACATTTGTGAATAGCTATGTCAAGCCCGAATACCCCATCTTTTTTTCTTTGATGTTAATTTCTTTATTTATGTCTGAAAATCTAAACTCTTATTTCAAACTATACTTCATCGCCTAACCATGTTATGGTCTAAGAATATTTTCCAACCACTAAGCTAAGGTACGGGTGCATTCAGCGTATGCAGGATTAATCACTCTACACACTGTAGGTTTATTCACTTTGACTAGACGGTATAATTTTGGTGTGTGTGTGTGTGTGCCCGTGGGTCTGAGTTCCACGGATAAACTTTGAGGAGTACTGCTCTACCTTTAGTTTCTTTAAGTGTCTGGTTATTTCATTTTATTATTTAATTTTTTACTCTCCTCCAGTTTCTGAAACTTCTGTTTGTCTCACAATATATAATTCATCTTTTTAATGTAATCATTTCTGTCAAGGTGAACCACTCCCGATGCTTTATCAGGTCTTATAATTACCAGTCTTTAGTCATTTACCAATTTATTCAGAACTTCCTTTGTGTTACTTTGTCAGGATACTTTTAAAGTCGTAATTTTTTTCAAATGGGTTATTAGTAATGTATACTAGGCTGGGTTTGAAGCATTCTAGTTCTATGTTGGGGGAGGGAATTAAGTCCCTCATCTGACTATACACTTGTTTTCAAACTCACTATCTGTCTCTGTAGTGCTGGGAGAAAGCACCTCAAAAAAAATGAATGGACACAAAATAGATCGCGCATATATATATATATATATATATATATATATATATTAGTCGATCCTTATAAAAACTCTTAAAAGTTAACATCAAAGAGTAAATTAAGCAGCATTTTAACTTAAGGCGGTGTATACCAAATTCAAGTCCAACTTTATTTATTTGCGCTTAAACAAACAAATGACAGTATAGACCTTTAGAGAAACCATTTGTTCACCACAGTGAAAATAAAAATACACAAAAAGAATGGAGCAGGTCGACGATTTCACTGATGTTTCTTATACGTATTAATTGATGTTCAACCAAGCACTCAAAACACTATCAACTGCGCTAACGCACTTATGCAGTGTATTTGTATGCACGTATGCATGCGTGTGAGTGTTATAAAGAGAGACAGAGAAATAGGGCATATTTACCCTAGATGGAAAGTTGATTTTCAGCAATCATATCTCTGTCTAAGTTGATATAAAAAAATTAACATTTTCGTAATAGAAATGTGCCAAGTGTGCTTTTCTACTCAGTATACTAATATCAACACTTAGCACAAGGAACAACATTCAAACATCTAATAATATTAACTTGAAATCTGCTCCTATTTGGTCTAGAGACTTGACACACGCGCCATGAAAAGAATTTCCAACAGGCGGCTGCAAACTTTCATTGAAGGCTGCTTTCGCTAGATACTGAAGATGAGATGGTCCGACCAATAAGGATTAGCAACAAGGAACTCTGATAGACAGCAAATCAACCAAGAACTCATCGCCGAACAAATGTATAGAAAGGAAAGGAGATGGATTGACCATGGGTTGAGAAGACCGTTGAGTGATATCATGCGACAGACGTCCAAGTGGAATCCGAATGAGAAACGGTGACCCTGGGGTCCGAGGATGACATATAAGAGAGATGAAAGTTTGTGGGTAGTCTTAGAGCCAGACGAAAGTAGTGGTGGAGAGGAACCGAATGCAATGGAGACTTGCTACTAAAGCCTTATGCTGCACTCGGAATCCTACAGACGAAGAACAACAGACACATCCTAGCATTAATAAGCCATCAATAGGGATAGTTACTTTGACATGACAATACCGTTTTGATTAATTAAATACATCAAAAGAGAATATACAAACAATGAATAAACCAATTTGATAGTGTCTAGGCGTTGGGAATGCAGTCAGTCATCTACTGTCATCTGGATGCATTTTCATCCCAATCAGCAACAATATTCTAACTGAAACTTCCACCTGGCAGTTGTTTTTTTTATTTTGTTATTTTGAGTGCCGAGTGGGACATAGAGCTACAAGCTTTGGCTTTGAAGTTGCAGTCACCTGGCTTACAACTTGTCCATCGCAAGGTTTATGAGTGAGTCAGTCAAACCACATGGGTGATTGGCCAGGATTCTATCGCTGAACCATCGACGCACATTGATTAAGTAGGTGAAGCCATTTAACGAAATCATTCGTTCACAAAACCTGAAAGTTGCAATTAAAAGAATATTCTCAATCAGATATATATATATATATATATATATATATATATATATATATATATATATACAAATAATATCCTCTGATGCTGTTTTTTTTCTTGCTCGAACTAAAACTTATTAATATATTATTTGACAGGAGCAGTAATCAATCAACCGTGTGTTTTGTTCAACACCTATCCACCGTCCCAACGTCTTTTTGCTAGTTAAGCAAAGAAGCTGCTGTTTTTTCGCTTGTTTGTTTGTTTTTTCACACCTTGTCAGTCACAATTTAATCCATCCAACGTATCATACATACATGTAGGACTGATTGATTTCTAACCGAGAATGACACCCTTCAGCCTTCTTATAATCTATTTTCATTTATTTTGCTTTTAAGGCATATACGACTATGGATTAAATTAGTTTAAAAAATAATAATAAATACTAATTTATATATATATATATATATATATTTCATTAAGTTGTAGTCATTTTATGTGAAAGCGCAATAGATTACAACTGTGATAAGTGACAGGAAAGATTATACAAACTATGATATATACTGAGCACATACATACATTCCTTCTAGACATTAAAAAAAAAAAAGAAATGAAGACTTTTCCTTAAAAACTCCCATTTATGCAGTGGGAAAAAATGCTGTGGATCTGTCATCATCATCATCATCATCTCTTGAATGCTCAACAACAAACAAAGAAACACGCTTGTATGGGAAAGAAGGAAGCAAGGTGAGGAAGGAAGAGATGAGATATATGATTAATTATTCCACACGATGATTTGAAATACATATACATTATGGAGGGGCAGATAATTGAAAAACATAAAAGAATGCCTAATACTGCCAATCTAAACAATTCGAGTCAACCAAGACAGGCTGATTTTTAAGGTATTATATATATATACATATATATATTTTTACAAAAAAGAGCATGCAAATAATTCAAGTAGAAAAATAATACGATTAAATATTTAGGGATTACTATTCGTTAAAAAAATTAAAAGAAAAGAAAATTGAGTTACGCATACACATAAACAACTACGCTTGTCAAATTATGTGTATATATTTCTCCAGGTAATATGACTAAGAAAAACAATCATAATTCTATTGGACAGAAAGTCATTAGAGCAAGTGTCATATGTGTTGCACGTGCGTGCAGCCTGTGTGTGTGTGTGTGTGTGGCCAATCATAATTCTATTGGAGAGAAACCCATTAGAACCGCAGTCTGTGTGCGGCCATTCGTTCGTTTTATCGCTGTCACATCATGAGATTGACACAGTCTACCTTTTTCTTTTTATCAATCATCATGTTATAGAGTATTGAAATCATAAGTGGGAACACTAGAAGAAATTAGGCGTGACAAATATTTTCCTGACAGAAAACAAAACAATCTCAACACACTTGTGTGCGTATATAGAAGTGGAATATTTCTTTTCGTCAGTTATCTTTTGAGTGGAATAATAATTCAGTTTACATTCGTGTATTGACAAGCGAATTGTTTGTGGATTGTTGAAAATACCTCCTGTGAATAGATAGATATAATATTGACACGGTACTAAACTTGCACTGAATAAAAAATAAACAAATAATGGATATATTGGAACAACGTAAACAACGGGTAAGTAAGAAAGGGAAGTGTACATTGGAATTTTCTTTTCGCTTGTTTTATCCAGTTTATTAATTTATTGCGTGTTCTATTTGACTACAAGATGATATCAGTTGAAGAGGCATTGAGAAACCAGAGCGGTGCATCAAGTCAGCTTTGAGAACAGTTACTTGCCTCTGGTAAGTATATCGCGAATTGGAAGAAGATGGGATTCTTGGGCTGGCTGGCCATTGGGTCGGGTCCCAGTGGCTGTATGGTCTGAGAGCTCGGCTTGTAACTGTAAGGTGCTCATTTCGTACTGTGGTGAATGCTCAGTATTAGAAAGTCGTAAACTAGGACGATACAACGGTCCAGTACTCTTGGATGGTTTTCCAATGGTTCATTAACCGATGTCAGCTCATGAATAAACCTGTAACCAATTAAATCCCTTCAAAGCCACGCTAGCTGCATAAAACTGTTTGATTTTATGAAAGCAAATTTTACCAATAGTGGAAAACTGTTAGACTCAATTTTCGGAGTTGTGTGGTTATAACTGATGTGATTATGAAGAATAGATTTTTTTTCGAAATGGTATTCAGTTAAGTGATACTTTTTCTTTGTGTTATATATGTAGGAAGCAAATAATTATGGGAATTTGCGATTAAAACACAACGCAAAAAGCTGATAATTATGACAAAAGAGCATGACAAATATCATACGGATCTAAATAGAAAAGGCTCTCCTATGTGACATTATCGGAGACTGTTCCCAGTGAAATTAATAATAACAATGGACATAATAGTGATAGGATATTGATATGTATCCACATATATATATTTATGTGTGTGTGTGCATGTTGGTCTCTCTTTCTGTTTGCTCGGTTAGTCTGTGACCATTTCACTTGTATGGACTTGTCTCCTTTAATAATGTGTATTCTCCTTATATTATATTATATATAATATGAGTGTTTGTTGACAGTCCGTTGCTTGGTGACATATATCCATATATGTTTGTTGGCATGTCTGCTATATTCGCTATGTATAATTGGATCGACACTCCATTATAATTAGCCATTCATGTTAAGACTGTCTAATGATTTTTCCCACGCTTGTCTGAATTATTTATATATATTCGCATTCACAATTTGTGTGAACTACTTTACTTTACAACTACTTGACTTACTTACCACTTTGGTGTGAGACCATTATTTTCGTCTCCTTGTGTTTGGACAATAGAAGTATCATCGCAAACCTAGTGGTCTTCTGATTTCCGCCTTCTTGCGTCAGGACTATTAAATTCTCGACCAGTCCATAACAATAATTTAGCGACGAGCACATAACAATTTGGCGACGGGGAAAACTAGAACATAACAATTTGGCGACGGGGAAAAACTACTATTAACCACACAGCAGCAACAACATAACAATTTACTATGGATCCTATTAAATTGGAATTATTGTTTGAACGACAAATGAAATTAATGGAAATGTTCTTCAACCAACAGACTGGTCCAGCTCCACCTTCAAGCAATCCCAATCATACCATGCTACCATCTGTCGACGGAATTGTGAACAGTATTTCGCAGTTCAATTATGACCCAGAGGCTAATGTCACTTTTGACACATGGTATCAACGTTATGAGCAATAATTCACTGTTGATCTCGCCTCACAAGACGATGCCTGGAAGGTGCGAGTTTTGCTACGTAAATTGGGTCCGGCAGAATATGAACGGTACTGCAACCTAATTTTACCACAGAAACCACGTGACAATTGTTTCGATGATACAATAAAGTTGCTGCGTGAACATTTCGGAGACCACTCCTCATTATTCAGTATACGTTATCGTTGCCTCAAGCTGGCAATGAATGAAAATGATGATTTTCTTACTCACGTTGGCACAGTCAACCGAGAATGTGAGAGATTTCGACTCAGGTCCTTAACAGATGATCAGTTCAAAGCCTTGATTCTCATATGCAGTCTCCAATCTCCTCGTTTCACAGATATCCGAACTCGACTGCTCAATCAGCTAGAACAAAATCCCAAGTTAACATTACATGACATAGCTGATGAATATCAACGGCTGATTAATTTGCAGAAAGACACACACTTGGTCGAATCAACACCTCCGAGAAGCTCTGATATTCGTGCATTACGAAAGAGCAAAAATCTCTCATCATCCAGTCCTGACCCACCTTCTTCTAATGTCCCGCGGAAACCTACACATACTCGTCCAACTTCACAAAATACGACAAAGAAGACCCCTCCATCACCATGCTGGCACTGTGGCGCGTGGCACTTTGTAAAGTCTTGCCCATACAAAAATCACCGTTGCAGCAAGTGCAAAATCATCGGTCATAAAAATGGTTTTTGTCAGCCACGCAAACCCAGATATCAAAATACAGCGAAAGCTCAACCAACTGTTGGTCCTTAATCTCCAAGGAGATCATTGAGTCTACTCGCAACCTGTCAAGTCACAACACCAGGTATGCGGAAATATCTTGATCTTCAGATGAACGGTCATGATGCACGTCTGCAGCTAGATACTGCCTCTGATATTACTGTTATATCAGAGAAACTTTTGAATTATATTGGCAGACCACCTATCACCAATACTTCCCAGTCTCTTCTCAGCGCCTGTGGTGGGCGGCTCAAACTAATTGGTGAACTGAAATGTTCCGTTTCCTTCCGCAATACCAAATTCACAGGAATTTGCTATGTCACCAAGGGTGATTTAAATGTTTTGGGACTTGATTGGTTCGATCGTTTGCATCTGGCTGATGTCCCACTAAATTCGCTATGCAATGCAGCCAAGAAGCATAAAATGTTAGACAATTCCGGACGGAGCCGAAGCCGCAAACCCAACAATCAGACGAAACGACAGGCGTCAACAACATGCCCAAAGGTCCCAGATAAACCCCCAGGTAAACATCCTACTAATCATTCATCTTCTCAAAAGGGGAGGTGATATGTGTCCACATATATATATTTATGTGTGTGTGTGCATGTTGGTCTCTCTTTCTGTTTGCTCGGTTAGTCTGTGACCATTTCACTTGTATGGACTTGTCTCCTTTAATAATGTGTATTCTCCTTATATTATATTATATATAATATGAGTGTTTGTTGACAGTCCGTTGCTTGGTGACATATATCCATATATGTTTGTTGGCATGTCTGCTATATTCGCTATGTATAATTGGATCGACACTCCATTATAATTAGCCATTCATGTTAAGACTGTCTAATGATTTTTCCCACGCTTGTCTGAATTATTTATATATATTCGCATTCACAATTTGTGTGAACTACTTTACTTTACAACTACTTGACTTACTTACCACTTTGGTGTGAGACCATTATTTTCGTCTCCTTGTGTTTGGACAATAGAAGTATCATCGCAAACCTAGTGGTCTTCTGATTTCCGCCTTCTTGCGTCAGGACTATTAAATTCTCGACCAGTCCATAACAATAATTTAGCGACGAGTACATAACAGATATACAAACTGAATAAAGAGAACGAAAAAATAATTAGAGCCAAACTATGAATAGAGATCATGATATTGTTTGGCATAGGTGGATTAAGACCATGAAAGTAGGAGTGGCTAAATAAACTTTTGATATACACGAAGTTCTGGCTTTTCTATTTCTACGGCCAGAGCTTTAGTAATACAGATGTGTAGGATAAGTAGTGATTTCGGTAGGTTATTTTTCGCCTTGTAGGGTAACTTCAAAGGGAGAGACTGTAGAAATAAGGTGATCATATGTTCGATTACTGAGTTTTTTATAGTTCCACTTACCAACCTTCTTGATCACTCAGTATGGTACTTTCGTACGTTTTTGAACAAAACTGTATCGAGCTACCGGTATGTAGTCTTGGCCCTGATGGTATACCTGCATATGTTCTGAAACAATGCGCAGATGCTTTATGTTCTCCTCTAACTAACATCCTAAATGCTTCTTTCTCCAAAAACCTTGTACCTGTTCCATGGAAAGATATTAAAATAGTCCCTGTCCCTAAACCTGGAAATAACAAGAACGTGAAGTTCAGACCCATTGCCATCACTTCCCCGTTTCTAAAGCTTATGGAAAAACTAGTACTTCTTAAACTCGAATCCTCCCTTAAAAGCTTTGAAGACCCCAAACAATTTGCCTAAAGATAGGGTAGGAGTACTTTAAACGCTGCAGCCGTCTTACACAACAGTATCGTCTCATCATTAGATAAAGGTGCCAAATACGTCCGCTGCACGTTTCTCGACTTCACTTCTGCTTTCAACTCTGTACCTAGATGTCTCTTGCTAATTAAGCTCTCTATGACACAAACTGAGTCCTGGATCTCTAACTGGTTGCATTCCTACTTCTCAAACAGAATGCAGTACACTGTATGCAAAGGTAAATCCTCCTGTGCTGTGCTCACTGAAGCTGGTGTCCCCCAAGGTGCTGTACTTTCCCCACTTCTCTTTTCTTTTTTTCTACATGACCTGCCATCTTCAAATGACATTAATTTTGTCAAATATGCTGATGACCTGACTGTATCTGTCTGCCTGTCAAATGTCAAAGTGACTGCTCTAAACTAAATGGCTTTTTATCAGAAATCAGCCAATGGTCCAAGGAAAACGGTCTCACCTTAAACCCCTCCAAATGCAAAACAGTTAATTTCACCTTTAGGCACAAGTCTGACCTAAACAAACTGGTTAGCATTCACGAGGTGTGCAACATTGATGGCACTGAACTAGAAACCAAGTCAGAAATTAAATCCTTAGGCGTCATCCTATCTGCTGATCTTTCTTGGTCGTCTCATATCTTGATGATTTCTAAGAAAATATTCCGCCTTACCTTCTACATCAAGAAGTTAAGACATTCTGGCATAACCCAACCCTTACTCCTACGATTCGTTAACTCCTGTATTCTGCCTATTATTCTCTATTGTTCCCCTTAGTTTTCCCTGGGCTACTGAAGAAAGACTATACCTTATTAAGCAGGATGTTAAAGGTTGTTAGCAGAGTAAGCTACGTGCCACTTAACCAGCTTGTTAATATTCTGGTTGACAGGCACATGGACTCATGTGAAAAATGGGCTAAATCCATTTTATCTAACTCACAATACCCTCTTCATTCACAACTCTCCCCTTGTACCTCTTCAGGCAAAACCAGGAGCCTATATAGAAAACTACATGCTCGCACTAGTAAGTACAAAAACTCAACCATACCCTACTTAGCTCGTGTTCTGTCCGATAAAGAAAGCATTAGGCGTGATACCTACAACTTATTAAATAGTCAGTAGAACAATTAGACCTCGTCTTCCCAACTCATATCATATCTTTCTTTTCCTTTTCTCTCTCTCTTTTTTCTGTTATGTACTGCTTTGTTTCTTTCTTCCGCTTACGCCAGTAAATATACAAGCATCTACTTTTCTAACACCTTCAAACGCTGATCAATTTTGGCTTTGCCAACATGCTAATAAGCTGTTGTCATAATGAACTGAGATTTCCTTAATCTATGTAGAATTTTCTTTATTGATAATGTACTAACTGGATGCAATACTGTAGTAAAATGCTGAGAATTCCATTCTGTAATCACAAATACTGTTTTGGAATAAAGAAAATTATTATTATATTTAGCTCCGCAAGAGCAGGTGAAATGATTAATGCACATAGATTTGATCAGCTGAGGGATCTCGTCTTGTAGGTTATTTAACAGTAATCGTAGAGTAGAACACGTTATTCTCAACGATACTGCAACCAATATCCTTTGCAAGGACAACGAGATCCTTTTAATTCTCTTCTGGATTTAAGTTTCATATACAGCATTTTTTTGGATACAGACGTTAAATCACATTCAGAAACAGCATATGTTTACTCTCATAATTCATATTTTGCATACAATTGACAAATGGCAAGGTATCAAGAAGTGCATGAGTAGACAACCGCCTCCTGACAGGTTCAAGGATTTCACCTAATCACTTAGCTATCGGACGGTAGGGGGAATTGAACATATCCGGAAATGGGCGGAGTAGCAGGCCAGTGACATATCGATTTGGATACTTAAATGTCCTCTGTCCTAAGAATTTGTAAAGTTCATTAGTTCGTTTATTCAGTTTAATCTTAATTTCATTGAAATTTTCTTATCTTTTGATAAGATACACACGTTCATGTAAACTTACTAATTCTGATATAACAATACGCGTATACACTCCTACAGGAAGATCATGATAAAGATAATACTGATTGAAAATGTATTGAAAAGATTGATTACGGTTGGATTCGTACCAGAGTCCCGTGGAATACTAACCAATACTGAGTGTGGATGTGTTGCTCATTGGCTAGTGCACTTTACCTTCAATCAGTAATTCCTTCCCACCATAGATGTGGACTCACAGCCTGCTACTGAGAAAATCTGTGTCTTATAGTTAAATCCTAAGTAATTAACAAATTCCATATTCATTCAGCTCCACCTATTGAATGACTTTTATAACGCAATTTATTGTTCATAATAATATCAGTTTTGGTCGCATAACTTTGAAACTTGCTTTTGCAGCTCTCGTTCTTCCACATGTTAGAATTTGCCACATTTTTGTATTGCGTGGTGAACCAGTCCAACTAAAGTCATCAATCTCTGCCTTCATCCTGATATATTTGGTTTTGAGACAGTCACCTTGTCACATCCTTTTCACTCTGTCTGGTTATGTACAAGTACATGTAGTAATCATGATAACGAAAATAATAATAGCTGCATCCTATAAAATGTCTTTGCACAAAATACAGAATTCTCAGAGTAAATTTTTGCAAAATATTTACTACCCTTGTGGGATCTTGAATTAAAATATTAACAGACGGTATGTCGTGTGATGTAACATTGTTCAGCATCAGGCGGAAAATTCAATCATCTGAGACAGTTTCCCTTCATTTTCTTTTTAAAATGCACAGCCATAGATTAAAAGCCAACTGAAAGTGTGTGTGTGTGTGTGAGTACCTTTTGCGACCAAAAGACATAACTGAATGGGTGTTACATTAAGAGATAGCTTTTTATGGTGGCTCAGTGGTTTAAGCAGGCCACCCATTTAGATAATGTTTTTTCTAAGCTTCTTATCTTAATAAAGTGTACTAGTCTAGCTTTCGCTAAGTTTTTGTGCTTCGCTCACCTAACTCACTCCGGTCACTACTTCAATCTATGCATTTTTACTTCACAATCATTACGAGGTATAAGATGAAGTAAACTATTTTGTGTAATGGGCTCCACAGGATTCTTAAACCCACATAATTTGTCTCTGATTCAGTTTGTAGACTTGAACGTCACTTTCACTATTGTCTTGTTATGAATCATACTGAAGGTTCCACAGATTCCTCCTTTCTTTGATAGCAATACTGACGTCTTTAATTCCCTCCTTTCGGTGTCGTTATCTTTCTCTGTAAGTATGCCATTCATGTCTTTCTTATTATTATCACCTTATGTGGTATAGCGGTAGGACGCTCGCCAACCATGCACATGGTCCGGGGTTCGATCCTCAGCCGATGCACACCTGATACCAATGGTCGGCCTGCTAAATTTGGGCTACCGATATCACATGCTGAAAATTCCATACTTGTATCAAAAATACTATGTGGAGTCAAGTTACAATAAAAATTTAAAAAAATAAGGAAATATTTTCCATACACTTCCTGATTAATTTATCAGGGCCTTCAGCTTGAAGCCCTATATCCCCTTCGGAACAGAGAGAAATACAAGTTTTTGAATTTTTTATTTATTTTTCCTTCATGTTCCCCAGTGGAACATAGGGTTTCAAGCTAGTGGCTTGAAGTTTCAATAGCAATGTTTATTTTACAGGATGAGGTTACTAGCCTCATGCCCAACCTTTCCTCTCTACCAGCATTATTTCTGGCTCAGCGAAGTAAAGGAGTGCGTCGACCGGGGATCGAACCTCGGACCATGTGCATGGTCGGCGAGCGTCCTAACCGCTATACCACCGACGCACACAAGTTTCTGAAAAGTAACGAATAAATATTTCCCACGAGAATAGTATGTGCTTTTATTCTGCAGTGGGATATTTCTATTCTGCTGAGAGTTTTGTATCTTCACTTTTCACTTAAGATACTCAGATGTTTATATTACTCTTCTGATCCTGTGTTAAATTTTAATTGTTACTTTTCTATCTTAAATATTCTAAATAAGAAAAAGGACGCTGAAAGATTACGACGTAGACAGATCAATGATCGTTTAATTCGTCTTCGCGATATACTCAGATTGGAGGAGGATGTGAGTTGCTTACTTTTTATTATTTTTGAGAATAATGATGATTTGAAGGTACTTGCGAAAGTAAAATTATTATTATTACTGTTATATTATTACTAAGACATTAACTGATCATCATAATCATCATCATACGCCTTTGGTATATGACGAGGTAACACAATCATAACCTTGGAATTCTAGTCGCCTCTTTAACGCATTTCGCAAAACACTGCTCAGTCTAGCCGAAAATTTGTTGGAATTATCATCATAAATCCGTTCTTGTTCAATATTTTGGGATGAAGACATGTAGTCCCAGTCGGTGTATTGGCTTCTATTTTGAACATTTCAGTGATGTCGTGATGTCAACACAGTGTTATTTGATTGATGTGGGCTATCAGTGGATGGCCCCTTGGAAGTGTGTTTCTTCTCATTGGAAACACCATCAGTCATCGGGGTTGCAGATACAACCTGCTCGTGAGTTCAGAGTAGGACGAATCTCACACATTTCAGATTCCATTTGTATCTACCACCAATAAATTGTGTGCAATCAGTACATCTCAAGAGAAGTGAATAAGGCAGCATACTTTACATACCTGTAAACATAACGTTCTGATGATGAATAATAAATATTCCTTCTCCCAAAAGGCCGACTTCATTAACCCCGTCAAAATAAATCTGCTGAAATTATTAAGCATATTGCAACTGTTATCAAAAAAAAAGCAACTAAACATTTCCATACCAAGTATAAGAGAACAAGTTACTCACAAATGAAGGTGAGTAGAAGCAGGACAAAGTAGTTAGATGCTAACCAGTAGCAAGATCTGAGAGAAATGCATCTGAGGAGAGAATAATGCAAGACAGTGAACAAGAGGTTATTAGCTGAAATTGTTGTTTCTTCAAAACCCTCGACAGTAGAAATTCACAGAATCAATCAGTAGAAATGTTGAGGAATTTTCACCTTAACAGGTGAAATATATTTACCACACACCAATACAGGCTAGTGGATACGTTTCACCGGAGTATTTTGAACTTGTTAGAAGACAATAACTCTGAATTCCAAAAGTGTGTAGAAGTAGTCTTACCACAAGCAACAGAGGCTCATGGAGGTAGTGCTATATACCGTGTATTTACAGGAGATAGAAGTGATGAGCCATTAGATTCCCTCCCAACAAGTGAATGGTGTATGGATTCATCCTGAAACCTTAATTCACGGGTTCGATCTCTGTTGGAGACATGTGTGGATACTTCTGAAGAGCTCCAAACGAGTATAAAACAGCCATCCACTAATCTACCCCTGCTTTTCAGTAGTACTTTAACTGGAATCACCTTGTGATCAAACTTCATAACAACAGACGGTCAAAAATACCATTAACAAAATTATACTACAGGTTAATATGTATCTAGTTGTATAGTATCCAACAGGATGCAAAGCATAGCCTGAATCCCAACTGAAACAACTAATCCCATAGTGAGTTGAGAATATTTCCAGTCGGTGATTTTGTTTAGTCTCTCTAATCATACCAACAAAGTTCAAAATACGATGCTGTACAGAGTGTTTCATGTTTTTTCTAAATATCTCTCTCTCTACCTCTTATCATCTCCACTTGTTCTAGATTAAACGGATCTACATATTAAAGAGTGCAGTAGACAGATTGAGGACAATACAGTCAAATGGTGCTTATAAACCTGAATATACTTGTGATACGTCAACAACCATCGATCAGCAACTCGAACAAAGAATCCCGATTGTTCGGCTTTATCCTAAGGTTGAACAGGTAATTTCCATTTTTTAAATCACACCTCAGAGAATTTCTTATCTGAAATGTGTTCTTTGCTTTCTCAGTGGATGTAATTACCTTTATTTGGATTGATTAAAGGCGTCCACTATAAATCACATAACATTGATAAGTCAACAAAAGCTACTCAAAAATATCTAGTCTAATGACATCAAAATTCCAAGAGGTATATGCGGAAAGACTGTTAATTGTTATTATAATTCATAACATGTATATACGATAATCTGTGTAAATATAACACAAGAATGAACGTCATATTTCACACATAGATGAATGATCATGAATAATGTTCAGATTTGATTTGATTTAGACTGATTATAAACTTCATATGAAAGTCAATAATATTATCAAACCCAGGAGTGAAAACTGTTTCTGTGGAACCAGTTATATTGGCCATCGCTCTGTGAACGTCATTTTTTGTTCTCGGCAATACCTATGGGTATGGGTAAATAAGGATATAGTAAAAAGCATTAAACAGCCGAAATTTTGTGTACGAAAGAAACAAGTCCAGGTGTTCTTCCTGTTGTCGATATTGTCGTTCATTCATGTGCATGTACAGTACTCAAATAACTGCTGTTTATCTTTATTCTTGTTTCCTCGATAGGGGAAAAGCTTTAGAGCTACTGTGGAACAGTATCGTCGACGTTTTGAGCGAGTTGAATACGATCGCATACGTTCACTTCTCAGTTATGATGAAAAGGTTAGTAATTCTTATCACTTATTATTCTATACATTCTAGTTGTGTGTGTTTGTTCGGCTGTTATGTGGATAACGACTATAATATGCGTGTGTTATTGTATTCCAGCTCATTTGTACTCATCTTACATAGCCCAGAAGGCGCTAGTAAAGAGAATCAGGACAGAAAATTCATTGACCCAAATAAGACGTATGTTTCCAGACCGAGATGAGTGCTTAACTAACTAGGGACAGTTCACAAACAACTGATAGTAAGATGACAGCGTGTTATACCGAAAGCGTGCTTGACAAATAGCCATCAGCTTCATCTTCACACAACAAGTATGGCTCATCACTAACTACTTGGAAATAAAAGTGGTGTTCATTGAAATAGCAGAATTCTGTTACCTAAATCAATCTGTCGCAGCCTAACAAATAAACTCGATTATTACCTGTTTGCTCAATCTAAATCGATATTTCCTCACAGAGCGACATGAGCTAGTAGTTCAGTTTAGTCTACAAGTGTCTAACCGAGTGACACGGAGCTCCCACAATTCATCGAAGTCCTGGCCAGATGGCGGTATAACCAATTCTCACACAATAGGTACACCTTGTAGCATATAACAATGAAATGAATGTAGCTTCTGAGGAACTTCGTTATTATCTTTATTTGCCTAACCGATTTTGTGAAGCCACAACCACATCATGGAAACGGTTGTAGTCGTGTGAAATAATGATAATCACTTTACTAATTAACTGAATGCATCAAAAATTCAATAACCCATGGATTTTAGTCAACACGAACTTATTATTGAATTGAATTTTTGATTTTCCCGTCGATTGATTGGACCGAAGTGCGTTTGAAACTACGGGCACTGGGTTCGAGCCTCAGTGGGAACACCATCACTCACTGAGAAATGCAGGTACATCCAGCTAAAGAGTCCCAAATAGGACGAAATGCGCATCCTGGATTCCACTGCTAGCCACCATCCACCAATTGAACACGAACTTATGATATGCCATATCAGACCACTCAAGATTAGCTATTTTCAAATCCATATTGGCTATCATACTTCATGATAGTCATGCTCAAACAAAATAGGCGAATAATTATATCGACAGACAATGCTAGCAGCTGAAGAAGTGATCAACTTTCTTAGAATCAAATCCATCATTTGATCTTTTGTATTGCCAGTATGCTTAAACAGCTAGCCGGCATTTGGGTGGTTTGAATCGATCCCACTCTCTGAGTTGAGTCTATCAGGGACACTGATGATGAATTAAGTGCAGACGAGCCAAACGACTGTCCAGTGTCTAAATAAATTCGATCTGGTTAGTGAATAACTTCTTTAAACTGAGGGAAACTGAACGATTTGGCCATCTCAGCAGAATCCCTTCGCGCATACTGATGACGACTTTGGTCGTGAAACGTCAAAATGATAGTCGAATATTTACTTAGCATGCATTCAGATTTTCAAAGCTCATTTCACTAAGAAGTATAAGTTTCATAGTTAGTAAGCGAACTGGCAACTATCATAGCCTATCAATAACACTTTGAGTGCACTGGTTCAGAATTTCACACATGAAGGAAGCAACTGTTCAACAGTCCTTGGTATTTAATGCTAGTTTTAAATTCGGGCGACTATTAATACTACTCGGATACTTTGTATCGTTAATAGAATGACCGTTAGTCATTCAGTGTATAAATGCTTGTTTTATTTTGAGACGCCCACCATCTTGTTTTCGTTTCACTCTGCAGTCTAGTAAAGGTAACTTACCCTGGTCATCTTTCAGACCGAAAGCGGATTCGTTTCCGTTTACTACTGAGTTCATTGGTGTGTAAAAACCTAGGGATATGCTCAAACTTCAACACATTGAATGAGTCATCCACATATCCCACCCCCATAAAATTGGATGAGCTTGTTTCTTCTTTGAATTTTTGACATAGTGTGAAAGAAATTCAATGTAATAATTCATTCTCAATCCTTGAATGATTAATATCTAATGTTGTGGAAACTAGAGGGTGGTTGAGTAGTCTAAGTTCAATTATATCTATGTATACATTCTTATCCCACCTAACATCCATTTTCCCTGTTAAAGGAGTGCTCATTAAGATAAAAGTGCCATCTTTTGTGCTACATACTCATTGTAGAAAAGTAGCAAGTTATAGTATCACTTTTTTATTTTGTAGTTAAGCGCTTTATTGGAAAGTTGTGTATTACTCGTATTACTGTAACTTAAAACAAGCAACAACTTTGAAAGAAGCAGTATTGAACGGATTTATAAATTTCAGTAGGACTCGTCACCTGAATACTCTATGAACATTATTAATTATATAATTTTTTAAGGTTAAATACATAAAAACACACAGTGTTACATGAATAGAATATACTGCCTTAAAGGACTATATAAGAATAGCTGACATATACCTATGGTATATTGGCGACGTATTCACAGTATGCAGAGGTACGGTCAAAGTCGAGATAATGTCAGAAGAATTTAATTCATACCGTGCTAGTATGAAATTTAAGATGGAACATGAACACAATAACTCCACACATTTTTTGGATGTAAGTCTCTTCAGATGGGCTGACAGAACTCTAGAGAGAGAGGGAGCTATATACAGAAAGCCAACTTAGAGAGGAAAATTCGTACATTTCAATAGCTTCCTCCTCGCTCAGTACTAAAGGAGTCTGGTTAGAACAAGAAAGATATGTTCAAGTAGCAGACTAGACTATAAAGAGAAATTCTTGAGGGAGATTCTAGTGAGAAATGAGTATTCGAAACGAGTAAAAGAACCTATGATACTGCTAATATGTTACTCACAAGAACAACATAGGCGATAGTGTAAGCAACAGGCAAAGATGAGACAACGACCCTAGACACATCAAAATTTGTACATCAGTTTTACTTGTGTTTATGAAAGCCAGTGTATTGGACGTACGGAAAGATATCTGTCAGTTCGCGCTGGCGAAGACTTCCTCAAATAGATTTCTAGTACTTATGATGGCATCCCAAGGGACTAAATCACATGAAATTTATTGGACTGTGATCATACAGTAATGCTGAGTAAAAAAGCTTTATAGTTATTATCAAGCTATTTTAATTAACCAGATTTATAGAAGCCGGATTTGTCTGTGTATGCAAAAGGAGACAGTAGTTAGCTTAAATATACTTTGGTAGGACACTTTAATCATACCTTTATAATTTGCTTTCTTTCCCTCTTCTTTTTACAACGCTTTTTCCATAGTTATTTGTAGTGCTCCTATTATCACTATTTTATCTGATCAACTGGTAGTTTTCTTAGGATATGTGCAAATCAAAAATCATAGTTGAGTATTGATGATTTTGATGTATAGTGTTACAACTACTACACTTATGAGCTTCAATCAGACATGTAAAAATCATGTTAATTTATTCCTAAATGGTATATATCTGTTTATTATGAAGTTTCATTGAAATTTCAATATTATTATCATCATATCTAGACGCTTATAACTTGATTAATTCTACGACAATCATTCCATTCTGCAATGTTAATAGTTTGCCTTGATTGGTGAATATTATTCACTTAATGATGACGTTAACAGGTTATCACTCACATTCATCGTTTTGCGAGTCATAGATTGCTTGAAACTGATCCTTAATTGTTGTTAAAATATTCATGAGTTTGCATGTCTGTGCGTTAAACTTGAAAAGCAGTTGTGTATATAACAACGTTTATAGAGGAGTATTCAGCTGATGAGTCCCTCCACTGAAATTTATGAATTCGTCTAAATACTACTTTTTACGACAGTTGTTGCTTGCTTTAAATTTACTATGAGAAAGAAATATTTTCAATTATTATCATTATTTTTATTATTACTGAGGTATCTAAACTCCAAATGTTTCCACACACACATAATTTATATTTTGCTTCATTTTTCCCCTATTTCTGTTGTATTTTTTCTTTTCATGTGAAATGCACACCATTTTATTAGGTATCAGACGTTCATTTACTGGATAAGTTAATTGAAACCATAGAAGACAAAGAGAATCAGAATAGTAATAATAATGATTTCTGCAAAGACAAAATAATTACATCAACACTAACACAAAATACTGAAAGGAGGAGGCAAGGCTTAAAACTACTGGATACAAATCAACCAACCCATTCCGTTCAATATTTCAATGCAAATAATAATAATAATAATAATAATAATAATAGCGATAATAATATGAATAGAGAAATTAATGAATCACAACAACAACCATGTATCAAATCAATCGAACCACCTAGTAGACATAATGAAAATGTTTCTAATATCAAGAAGTATTGGCGACCATGGGAAGATAATTAGTTATAATTATTTGACAAGTCGACAACTAATTAATTCACTTCACACCACTTTCAACCATCTCAGTCTATCTGTGATTTCATTGTACTAACTAACGTCATCTTTCTATAATTAAGACAAGATATTCGATCGTTTGAAAGTTATTGTAAATACTGCGTGAGTTTGTTAAATATATACTAAAATTTGAAACTTAATTCTATCGATGGTGTGTTTCAACTATGGTAATACTGGGTATGGGTTTTTTATACTGATCATGTTGGAAAACTACATCCTAATCCATCTATTCCTCTGAACTAAGATAGTTGGTGAGTCACTGTACTCTCTGTGTCTTTTTCAGTACTGCTGATTATAATTCGGTCGAACTGCTAGCGTAGTGGCTTTAAGATATCTAATACAACTGCGGAGAACACCAATCAAGTTGTTTACACTTCCATCAACATGGATCTAAGGTCAACTCAGTATAAGAGCATTTCGCAAACGGATGGTTAACATCCAATAAAAAAAACTAAAAGATTCAGATGATGGCATCCCGTGAGAAAACATAATACTTAAATTGACTGAATCAGCAAACAAAGTGGAGAATTTGGGTGCTACATGAAGTGTGACAACTTGAACTGTTGCACTTCTTTACAAATTCTTCTGTTGAAATTCAGTCAGTCAGTCAGGTTGTTGCGGAGACTTATGAGATGCTTTTGCTCTTTGTTATGTTCTAACCTGATTGGAATCAGTCTTCTTGTGTCTATCAGTTCGGATAAAGCAGGAGAAATACAGTAGCACTTACTAACTCTAGTTCGCGGGTTATCAGCAGTCTTTACCACTGTTTCTGCAGCTGACGGGATATTATGCCAGGCGAATATGGGTGATGATCAGGAAAGCCTTGTGTGCTTGTGCAAGTGATTGGGCGGTTACTACTGCCTACCTGCCCACAATATAGAAGTTGATTTCTTATTGAAATACCCGAAACAGTAGGAGCATTAGTGCTGCATGGTTTCAAAGTCAAGGGGATAACTACTCGTGGTCAGTAACACACAGCCTGTTCGAAGTGTCTTTTACATATATTTCCATCTCACCTCCTGCTATGAACCGCTGGCAATCACAGAGACGAGAGGCAGAAAATCTGGCCTGTTCGTCGATTGAGGGAGACACCTACTTCTTTTCACGATCCCACTCGCCAACGGTGGGACTTTTCCCTCTAACCACCATCAAAGTATGGGCGAATTAAACAATGATGGTGACTACTTTTAGTTTGACCGCGATCCAGGCTACTTCTCTGGCATGGTGGACCTGCAGAAGCACTCTTTTCAGCCAATATAGAACATCGGGTCGAGTTTTGCAAGCCTAACCACCCCTTCAAGGTAGCAGCTATCGGTTGGAGGCAAGGAATGAGACCTTGCATTGACCCAGGTTAGAAATGCGAGTGCTCTAAAGAAGCGATATGGAGCACTGGTCAAAGTGAGTACTACTAAGTGAAACCGACCCTACAACACTTTGTAACCTGAGAAAACTTTACCTATAGTTGTGCTTTTTCACGCAATATTAAACCTAACTTAGCAAACATAGTAAATTAAAACGTTTCACTCATCTACCTTGGGCAGCGTTAAAGCAAATTTCAAACAACTTGTGAGTTGTATGAGATCTAAGTGATACAGCTCACTAACGAAATTGTCCAGTTCATGTTTGTGACAATTACAACCCATTTACGGAGTGGTGAAAAACGCCATTATTTTCGCGTCTGCACTTCAAGGAAGATACTCTGACGGACAATCTATCCCAAAGTATGACCACAGTTCAACCTAGATTACATTCGAATCAGGCTAATAGTGGTTTATGAATGTGACAATCAGTCCAACTTTATGGATCCTAGCATAAAACGAAGAAATGATAAGGGAATTAAAAAACTATTTATCAGGAGGATGGATGGATTATGTACTACTTAAATCATCAGTCTCAGTTCAATTGGTTACACGTGAAGTTTGGACGAAAACCTCCACATCAGTGCAAGAGCGTCACGTTCATAAAATTACTGTGATGAGCTCACCATTGTTGGGAGGAGTCTTATGGAAAGTGGAGATTCAAAGAAGTCCATAAGGAAGTATAGAAGAAGGGAAATGTCCATATCGAATCCCGTAATAATTGAGTAAAAACCATATTAGTTTGTTTATTAGATGTATCACACAGTGAAACAGTATTATTTACTGGATGACATTTCGAACAAAATTTATTATTCATAATCATCCAGTAAATAATACTGTTTCACTGAGTGATACATCTAATAAAAAGACTAATATGGAATTACTTGCTACCACAATCCCCAAGTTTTACTCATATATGAGTAAAAACCAGTTTTTATGTGCGTGTGTGTGAAACAGTGAAAGAGGTAGAAAAGGCATCGGTAATAGGTAACATCAGACAACGATTTAGGAAAACAGACTGCAAAACGTACGCAGATGATAAGCGAGACAACCTCCTATAAAAGCAGAGTCTTAATTACCTCTCAGGGTAGACGACTGGGACGTTGGAAAGAATATTTTAGGGAACAATTTAACTGGCCACCAGACACACTCTACTTGCCCACCATCCAACAGCAGACTGAATTGGATGTCCCCGTTGAAAACTGAGGTTACACAGGATATCTCTGATCTGAAACGAGGTAAAGTAACAGACACTAATGAAATTATTCTGAAGGAGTTTAAGTACACTGTTGTCCAACTGACATCTCGCTTGGTTAAGGCTTCAGGTAACGTCTTAAAATCAGAAATAGGCCCACTAGACTGGTGTAAGTTACTTTTTATCACAGTTGTAGAGAATGGCGACAAGTCTTCCTATAATAGTCATGGGAGCATAAGCTCGACTAACATAGTATCTAAGTTCAGTAATCATGTGTAGACTAAGTGGTGCCCGAGAGAAACAAATCCGAGAAAGCCAGTCGATCTTCATGCCAAGAGGGCTGTGTATTGACCATACATCCACCCTTTGACACACTTCGAAACATAAACGTACTCACCAGCACCCAACACCAGCTGCATTTCTTGACTTGAAAGCTGAATTTGACTCCGTAGACTGAGATGTGTTATGGAAATTTTCAGCGGTGAAGGAAGTGCCGAGAAAGTATATCTCAACAAACAAGACACTCTACTCGGAGTTCATGTAGCCGTTTAAGACTTTGAAGACAATTGTCATCTAAAGTGATGACAACTAGTAGTATCCATCAGGGATGCTCACTATCTTCATTTCTGTTTAAATTCATCATAAATGTACTAACGGAATCGACCCTATAAAGTTATATTTGTAAAATCTCAGCGAAATTGAAATGATTAATTCCAACGTTTCGTTCGGCAATCTGGTCCGAACTTCTTCAGGGAAATTAATCGAAATTAACATAACAAAGTTTTATATATAAAGGGACACATCTTGTTTTTAAAATTCTTGTCCAATCATGAATCGTGCAACAGGTATCAACATGTATCATAAATAAATAAATAGAATTGTATGTTTACAAATATAACTTTATAAATGTCTACTTCTCATTCAGCGCCCAATTATTTTGCAACTATCCGATCAAATCTTGATCACAGTTCGTAGGAATCGACCCTAATTGACTACAGCAACTAATAGATTGACTCGCTACCAAGGGACGGTCTTGTTCACTCAGAATATGCGGATGATTTTGTCCTCCTAGGTGAAGACGCTGATAAAACACTGAGTCTTCTGTGCACCTTGAGCAGAAACCTTCGAATGTTTGGTATGATAATCACCCCTGCCAGATGTAGGATGATGCTGCAGGACTGAACCGCACTGAATTCTAACTTAAACATAGGGAGTGAAGTGGTTCAGCGCGTCTACTACTTCACATATTTGGGAAGTTGTATCAGCTGCAAAGAACGGTTTCCCGATGAAATCATTTAGCTAATAAAAGGGCTCGTGTGTCATTATCCAAAAGAAACTCATATCTGGCGTAGACGTGATATCAGGTTGTCAGTCAGAGGAGGTATGTAATGAACAGCAATTCACTCTGTCCTCAGTCATGGTCGTGAGATGTGGCTGTTGAGAGTGAAACACTTGAAGATGCCAGTTGTCTTTGACCATATGTGCCGGTGTCCCATCTCCTGTGCTCATTAGTACAATATGATGGTATGAGCGACACTGAGGTTAGGCGTATAAGGTTCGCTGTGGATTTCCTAACTTTATTCATAACTGTGTCTATTGATTTATTAATTTCCTCATATGGTCCTGTTTCTATGTGAGCATTCACCTTGTCCAAATAGTCTGATTTGTCTAATCCTACTGTTGCATTTCCTTTGTCTTTTTGATTACTATATCCTTGTTATTCTTAAGGTGTTTTAGGGCTTCTATCTCTTGTTTTGTCAGGTTAGGCTTTCCACGTTTTTGTCTTTTCAATGTAAGTGGAAATTGTGCCCGTACTTCGTCAGCGGTTTTTTCGTCTATCCCACTTAGTGCTATTCCTACTTTAAGCATGACATACTCAGGTTTCAGCTTGTCAACCGCCACATTGAAATTTAGTCCCTTTTCTAATACACTTATTTCTGTATATATGTGTTGAGAGACTTTCTGCTTCCAAGACACTGCGTAATATCTTATTTAGACGGGCAGTAGTTCATCCCTACCATCCTTAACACTTCTGGAGTCATGACATCATATCCTGTTGCATTGTTTTACTTCGTTTCACTTATACCAGACTGAGAACTTTATATGTGGTACCTATCGAGTTCCCTGCCGACTAACCGACTACGATGATCGTCTTCTACAGTTCTTTCTGTTCAGATAATCATCAGTTCGTATTCACTACTAACTTTCGGAAGAAGGAGAGACTGCATATCCTAGTGACCTCCATCACCACATCAACATTTAACTCAGAATGACCGCATAACGATAGCAAGGGTCAGTAGAAAACCCCCGCTTCTTCTGGAACACGTGCGTAGGATATGGTCTTGCTCTGGTTCGCGCACGTCTCTCCTTGCGATTAAATGGACATAAAATATTGTTGGCAGCGAAGCAATTACTTCCCCAACTAGATCAAGAAACTGAGTCCCTATATAAGAAATAAATAGCGAAACTAGTATTTGAGGTCTACAAAAAGATTCCTACTGAGGAATCCTGGTACAATATACAGTTAACTGTAGACAGAGCTGTAAAAGCTGTTAATAACATTAAACCAAAAGTAAGTGAAGGCCAGTGGATTTCTATTAAAACATCCGAACGGATTAAGACAAGAAGACTGATTCCTGCGAACTCTGATTATCATTAGCAGCGAAAGCTGATCAGATACAAAACAACGAAGAAGCCTTCAAAATGATTATGAACAGTGGAGGAAGACATAAGCGAAAGAGAGAAAAGGTGAACATAGACGAGTTCAATTCTGTTACGCATTATTACTGTTGGTCAGGCATCATCATCACCAGACTCCATTCAGCGTGATATTTAAAGTAACATTGAGCCGGTCAAGGGGATTTCGCTTACATCTTCTTCATGCAGTCGAAGCTCTAGCCATCCTCAAGGAAAAATCTTGGTTTTGTGCTCAGAAAGGTCTTCTCAGCCTCAGTGTTGCCCCCCCCACCTCTTGCATAGTAAACTCCATATAGATTCTTCTCAGAACACACCTTCGATTCTCTGTGTTCTTCTTTTTTATCACCCTTTAATCGATTGGTTGAATTATGCGAGACCATTCGACATTTATTACACATTGCTACTTCTCAAACACTTTCATTTATCTTTGTTACTAGATCACAAAAGCCTCTGACGCTTATTGACAATTGGCGTTGTGCATATGAAACTATAGATAACTGTGCATCTTTGATGAGACATTGCGAGAAGATCTCTTTGTTAACTTACTTCTTATTAATTCACATCACATGAGGATTTTCCATACCTTGATGAAATCCAAATGCCCATCGATATTAAACGAGCTCCTCCTTTCCCTTTTATTTTCTGACTGATTGAGTGGCTTTCACCAAATAACTCAGCAAACTGTGAGATGTCCTCAATACTTAACTAGAAAATGTCCTCCGAGTTCAACGCCATATTCCATAGTGTCTTGTGTCACTTGATCTATGCCTAAATAAACAGTTTTTAATAGGCAAACAATATAATGAATCAGAGCTCCTACAGGTTCACACCTAAGACCATGATATCTATAAGTACTATTCTACTTGATTGAAAACCATACCATAATGTAATTAGTGGTGTATACACTATTGTTGTCGCCGTTAAGTGCCTATTAATAAATAATCCAAACACTCGTTTCACACCCTATAGCTACTCAAGAGAATTCGCCCTGCGTGATATTGAAAAGCAGGCAATTAGAATCAACAATGATGTTATCCATGATTTTTTATTATCTGCAAAAGTAGGAAATGCTCTGTACAATCGACAAACCAGGAGAAAGCATCAGTATTTTGTCTACCGGCATCTTCTGGGTTTATGCTGTTCTCTTGATTAGATGGATTCCCGAGTCCGTATACACGGGGCCACACATTTCACCCACCTTCAGAGTGAATGCTGCATCTTCGAATGCTTTCTGCATTTGACCTCGACCAAAGAAATTTAAGTCGCCACCTGATGCAGCTGAAGAACAGTCACTCTCAGTTCTGGCAAGTTCATCAAATTTACGTTCACCAGATTCTATAAGTTCCTTGTATTCTGAAAGCAAATAAAACACATTTGATTGAGAATTAAAATCACTGGGTTGATGAAATGCAACCAATAGAAAATACTCCAGAAATCGTTGCAATTTTTACATGGCTATCATAATGATATTCATAGTAATAATACTAAATGTTTCACTTAACTAAACAATAGTTTACACGTAATTGTGGAATACAATGTACCTACTTACTGTTTAGTTTATACACCTTTTTTCGACTTCAGTGCTGTTGTAGGTTCCGAAACGAATAATATGCTATTAAGATTGATATTTCTGTTTATAACTACTAAAGCTTACTTAGAAAATCATACAACTTAGAGGCTATATTTTTGACAGCTTCTCTTCAGTCTGTCATTACAATAGACTACATGTGAAAGTAAGTGAAAATAGTTTACAATTCCTTTCTGGAAATCTCCCTCTCTCCATGAAACAAACATTACCATTCATAGAGAAAGCCAGTTTCGTACACCATAGACTTCATATCCACCCATACTATCGGTAAAGATGGAACCATTTTACACAAATTTGTCTGTGCTCAGTTACATCATCAGTACCAACAGACTTATTCATATAGGACGAATTAATATGAGGAAAATATTGTAAAGGTTTCGCAAGAAGAAAGCTCCTGTGAAAGCAAATGGCGTATTGCTTCTAGCTGTCATTAAACAATTACCTACATGATATGGAAAAACGGATTTGTTGAATCAGTGGGGGAAACCTAGTCACCATTTTGTTTAGCAGTGCATGCCACTAACACTAGTAAAAGCGTAACCACGTTATCTGGGAAGTGTTAATAGAACAGATAACGCGCCAAAAGGAATTGAAAAACTAAGCGACAACACTTAACCATTATTAATCATGAATTAGTACAGTTATCTGATGAGTATTCTCAATGCATACACTTCTATCATAAGAAGAAACTTACTTCTAATTAAAAATAAGGCCTCGTCTTTAGACCTCGTTATGTTTTGCTGTTTCCAGGATGAAGGACGCCGAGATTCCTTGTGCTTTACCAGCAAGTGTGAACACCTTATTTTACCTGAAGACGACGAAGCCGGATGTTGGGGTAATTCCCACTGAGATTCGTTTGTGACAATATTCACATAATACGTCTTTCCTTACGGAAATGTTTTATAAGCTAAGAAGCATTAGAAACAAACCATTGGAGCTGATACGAGAAACCCAACCCTCAGGCAGTGATGACATGACGCAGTTAGTCCGTGGATAGTAGTACAAACCTGAAAGCAATTATTATGTGAAACTAATATCATACAATTACACAGGAAGAGTGGAGTTGTAAAGTAACAAGCTGAGCCAAAACTAAGGAGTACACTGTTTCTATCAAGGAGTGTGGTTACTCATTTCACAACTCAAAAGGTCAGAGAAACTAGTTAAGGACGTAACAAATATTGCAGCAAGCCAGGTGAAAATAGGTATGTGAAACTCCATTATAACTATGAGATTTAATGACCTTCAAATGATGCGGAAACCTTTAGACAGAGATATTCATAATAAGCACTTAAATACATTTTCCTTATCGATTATTACACCACTGTGCACGCACTCTCCTTAACTTGTTAAAACCATGATCATATTATTCCCTCTAGCAAACGCATATCGCGACAGCGTCAAAGATAGCAGGTAAATCATCTGTGGAGATGCCTCATTTGCTTTAGCACTTCAAGTTTGTGCTTATAAATGTAGTAGTTATTAACGAAGATATTTCTTTCGGGATTGTATATAATGTATTTAACTGATTTTATCAGACATTTTCTCTGCAGATCGGAGCAATACATTTCTGATATCTTACTTCTTACGCACAGTTAGTGTATTCAAAGCCCACTTAAGTCAACATGCCAACTGCAGGTGTTAAAATTAAGACATGCACTTACGGTGACATGGTTTCCCCAAAAAATAATCGCGTCCTGGAAGCTAGATAGCAACAGGCCTACCAGGTATTAGAGTGACAGTGCATGTAGATGGGTCATTCCGAGTCGAAATGAAACATCCAGGAGGACTGAAGTGGAAATCAAGATTGCAATCACTTTTTAAACTTGCAAGTTTAGGGAAGTACATATTTTTCCTTAGGTACTGGAACTAGGTTTCTCAGTTGGTCACCCTAGAAAGTCCAATATATACACAGAACTACGGAACCAGGTGAAGACCGAACTACGTACACAAAGCATGCACGCCTTTTGTGATGAATGAGATTGTCCGCTTCAAGATTGTTTTAAAGGTTCCCCAGATGGGGGATGGCTGCTGTAGATCAGCTTCGCTGACCACCCCGTTTAATGTACTACTCTATGAGATCCTGAATACTCTGACTCTTAATGCATCCAAATAAAGGACCTAACCTCAAACGACTCAACTCACCGCACAATTATAAGACACAATGACCTACAGCGAAAAATCAATATTCCAGCATCCGATGTCCAATAGATAACTGAGGAACTGGTGTGAACCCCGCCATTTCTCGAGACTCATTTATTACTTTTTCGGAACTACCTAACGAGAGTAGTTTGGTGCGAACCTAATGGATGAGAGGCAGCAGGTACGTGCTAGAGGTGTAGCTTGGGGGTGGAAAACAGTATTTAGAGGAGAGTCTCCGAGAAGTGTGCTGAGTTCCTCATCATTCTTATCAAGCTCAAATGAAGTACCGAAAATTCTTACCTCATTTTCACTGTTATTTGGGGGCTAGATTAGGATTTAGAAAACTGTTGACAATAGTGATGATGATCGGCCAGTGCTACAAAGTGATCTAAATAAATTAACTGAACGGTGTTACTACAGGTGTCTGGAAATTAGTCCCAGACAAGCACGATAATGCATTTAGGTCAGAGGCGTTATACGTCATACTCCAGGGAAGACACAGAACTGGATGATGTTCAGAGACTAAATGACTCAGGAATTATCGCCAGTCATGATTTGACAAAAGATGCAATTCGTAATGCAGTTACAGCTTAGGCTTTCCCAACTGTATGCACTCTTCGAAGGACTTTCAAACGATTGGACGAACCCATTTTCAAAGTAGTCTACGCAAAATATGTCAGTCATCATCTAGAATACTGTATACAAGCAGCTAGTCCATGCTTTAATAAAGAGGCATATGATAAGAGGATGGGGAATTCAACTCTCTACCTATTGTCATACCGAAGGAGGAGAGGTGACTTCGTTTTGGCGTACAGTAATTTATATAGCGATTTCGCTATTGCCACACATATCCTTTTCTCTCCCCTTAGGATACATTTGCTAAGCCACCAGGAGAAGGTGGTCAAATCGCAGACGAATAAATAACAAAATATGTGTGGAATCTAGATTCACACAGAGTGGTCAACGACTGGGGTGCCTTACCCGATCAAGTAGTGTCACTTCCATCGGTGAAGGCATCTAACGGGAAATCAAATAACTGCAGATATATATATACAATGTATAGATCGATACAAGGCAACAGAGTCAACCATACTTATAATCTAGATCTGAAATTGATCTGATAATTTGCTGGTTGGCTTTCCGCAAATATAATACTCACTTACCTGCAGAAGCCCAAGGAGCAGGTGATTACTGACAATGGAAGTCACGAGTGAATAACCAAGTGACTGCAATCTTTGAAAATTTCCAAAGGGTAGTTATTAGACGATGGCTGAAAATGCCATAGGTTAGTTAGATATTGATGTTTGTAGGTGCTTAGCGAATTCTGCCCTGAAACACGCAGAAGCCGCGATTCGCGATTTAAAATATTGGCATTATTATGTATTAGGTGTAGAAGCCGGTGCCATGGAGCATCGATTTTATAGTGACTGCCACGTTTTATTTCATTCCAATTCACAGGACACATTTGAGGGCATTGTAACAGATTTACAGCAGATTGCCATCCAATATTCACTAGAGAAGATACTTATAATGCTTCAATCATTTAATTATTATTATTTCCTTTAATTCCTAGAGAAACATAGGGCTTCAGCCACGCGTCTCCATTGCGTTCGGTTCTCTGTTAGAGTTTTCACCTGTCTACAAGTCTGCCCACATGTTTTCATCTCCTCTTCACATGACCTCCTCCAAGTTAACCCCACACTGACGACCAGCTCATCGCTTCTCTTTCGGGTCCCACTCGAGCAACGGCTTGTCCAGTGATGTTACTTGACGGTTTTGAAGTGCACATTGAACCCTTGAACTTTTGTTTAAACTCACTCACCCATCGTTTGGCACGCCTTAATCTTTTGAGTTGTCACTCCTCGGCAGCCTGTAGACGGCCGTAGGTCATTTGATCAGCTGATGAATATTGGCGTTATTTTTGGAAATGACGTCAAGGTTAGGTCATTTTTCGTTGTTTTACACACTTTTTTACATATATTCCAGTTAAAAGTTGATGAAATACGGCGTATTTAGCAGAAATAGGCAATGGTGGTGTCCTTATCCGGCCGTAGCTTACAGGCAGTTTGCAGTTTTTTGGAAAAACGTACTTTTCCGTTCAAAATACGTCGAATTACTTGAAGAAACATGTTATAATGATCTTTTCGTGAATTTTCTTTGCATTTTAATGGATTACACATGGACATGACGAGGTGGGATAGCTCGTTTCGGTAATTATATCATTTACTTCCTTGTTTAATTTTCGTAATGCTGACAAGGCTACTCCATATGTATTTCTTTAGGAAAAATCTGCAGAAATACTTAGAAATTATATACGCAAAGTAATTCCTTTTTTTATGGCATAAACTTGATGTTTGCAGGCAGATGCAATATGGATTTTATATTATTGAAAACTGTGGACTTACATAATTATATACAATTCAAGTAATTATTTCGTCATTTTAAACATATTTAATGGTTAATTATTGTGTTAACACTGATAACAATGTCTATATCTGTATATATCTTATGTCCTTTTTCAGATAATATCTACTTTCGGGAATTTCATGGATTTGGGTGATAAAGAAAAAGATACCTGCACTGTTGTCGATTTTGTATTACATGTTAATTCATTAATAAATGTATTCCTCGTTAATCGTTTGTTTATTCTACTTGATAAGACCGAATATTAGCCCTTGCGTAATATGTGAGGTATAGAGTATATGAGGCTATCTTTGAAATACTAAGTAGGAGCAGATATTTGGAAAAGCCTATTGGTAAAAGATTATGTTGTGGTCAAATAAAGTAAATATGTCTAAACCGTAGAGAAGGTGTTGCGATTATAAAGCGTTTCGAGTTATATATCGTCATAGCAGAATACGTAAACTGATTCCCGATTCATAGTCACAAAGTGAGAATAAATTTACCTGTGATAGTTTGCTTGTGATTTCTGCATGCCGCAGTATACCATAAGGAGAGACTATACCTATGCTGTTAGATGTATAATTCAGTGCAACTACGGTTATCGTAATAATTAAAAACAGAATGCCTAGGGCTCTCACCCACGGAACACGATGCGTTGCTATCTGCTCCTATAACCACGTAAACAAAAGTTTTCCAGACACCGCATTTACTCCTAACAGTTTACCCTCAACTCCTAACTTAGCACGAGTTACTTATGTTACTGGAACACAATCGCATTACAACAGAAGGAAGACAGATTCATTGAAAAATTGTTTATTAAGCAAAAATCAGATTTCAAATGTACAGATAATTCAGATGAGTAGTCCTTTGTTACCGTCAGTAAGTTCCATCTGAGAACACGGCACATATATGTTTTTCCATAAGTCTGAAAAGGTTTAAGAAAAGCATAGTTAACTTGGGTATTACATGCATGATCTGAATAAAAAAATTTTCCTGATAAGCATTTACAAGTAATCACTTTACAAACAATATATATATATATATGTACATATAAGTAGCCCAATACTTTTCACTAAACTTAAGGGACTTTGCAACCTATCGCTGGTCGATATCCAGTAGGTCCATTGAAGCATCATGAAATGATAAAATTGTCTAACAACAAGTTATGCAGTAGTTTCCAAAGCTTGTACAAATATTTTAGCAAAAATGACAACCACTTTATGACAAATAATAGGTATTGACAGCAATAATAATGACATTCATGTTCATAGTGACTATAAAAACAATAATAGGTATTATCATCGCAACGAATTCATCATTAACTTAGATAGACAACTAATAATTATACAATCATGTCAGATAAATGTATCACTTAATCTTAAGAAGCATGTGTTTACTTACTTTCACTGTATTCTCTCAATACTGATGTGCTC